AAAACCCCGTAAAATTAAAACCAGGCTCAGCGAGCAACCTACCAGTGATTACGACTATTTCTTCCTCAATCTTTCTGTGTCCACAAGGTCTTACACTGGTCTGTTGTCTTTGCACCCTAAGAATATGTTCTTATGCTGCTTACTAATTTCGTCTAACCATGAGGAACAGTGGCTATCCTCAGCTAGTTTAAAGCAATAAAACAAAATAAACGTGCTGTAGAAATAATCCGCAAACTAAACATCAGTGGGAAATCGCATCAATAAATACGTTAAAGTAATAATGAAAAATAAGTTATTATACCAATACTTAACGGTATATTTGTGATCAGTTGTAGAAAAAAAGTGCATTAATTTCGAAATTGCTTGAAGTACACCTTAACATTATAAATTGTAAAAAATGAAACCGCAAACATAACGCATCGCCTTAAAGAGTTGATCGAATGTTTTTTGCTACAGTACAAACATAGGAAGCACATACAGTACTTAGATCGAATAGTTCTAGTCTATTTTGTTACGTAGTCTTTAGGCTTTTTCTAATTGTCATTAACAGACAGACAAATCGTCATGATAAAGCGCACCACAGTGGTAGGAGTGAACATTGTGAGATGAATGATTGAATACAGCATATTTAGGTTCAAGTCCGCGCTACGTCAAACTAAGGTAACGATGAAAGAGGAAATGGTGCCCGAATAATCTGAGTAAGCTGCAGTGACTTGGCGATGGACTGATCTGTCAAGTTTTGTACAGATCAACCCCATTCAAACGCGTTCGCTACAACATCAAGATAAAAGTAAATATCGCATCTCTAAGAAAAAACTCACCTAGTTTGTGCTTTTCAATAAATTGTTTGACGTTGAACTTAGCTCTGCTTGATGGCTTCGGAACGTTTATACGCCTGTGAGTAATAATAGTCTAATTAAAAGTTAAAATAAAGCCAATTATGCATATGTGAATTTCACCAGAGCCCAGAGATCAAAAATATGTCATATGTAGATATTTGTAACTTAGTGATCAAATTATGCTATACTATCTATATTTAAAACACTTTATAGTTGTGCGATGCGGTGGTGGTGCCTCGGTGACCCGCCGACCCGAATATGTTCGCGGCCGTCCCCTAGGCCTACCAAGCCCACCATCTTTCTGGGGTGGGTATATTGGTACCAGAGAAATTTGGGTAAGATAATTAGCCCTAACTTCGTGAAAAGTGGTCAACTCAAGTTTACCTTCCCTGGTGTTCCCACATTAGTATGACGTATCTGTGAATATCTGTTCTCGGTTGTGGAGCCGGTGATCCATAAGGCATTTGATGCTGACCTAAAGTATAATAATCAGTTAGTGATTCATTGCATTCACATTCCATTTAATTGTCCAATATAAAAAACACGAACGAACATGAATTAATTGCTGCATCAACATTTCGGATACAAAAGGCTGAGCAGAGGATTCTGATTTCTTATTTGTGCAAATCCCCTGTTCGCTCCACGAAAAGGCAATCGCATCTTCACACAAAGAATGGAGTCGTTCTC